AAAAAACATGATATTTTAGTCGAAAATTACTTGCACTAATCCGTTTTTTGGTCGTCCAAAGACTATGTATATTAGAGATCGTTAATTATATTCAATTATGGATAATGTGAGACACTTTCATTATCGTTGCATGCATCCGGTTTTAATCTCCGAAATATTCGGTTTTAGACCATTGAAGCAAGTTATATAATGTGAGACAATTTTCATCAGGTTTTGATAGAAAATTGGTAATAAACAATACATAATCTCTCTTAGTTGTATAATTAACTATAACCATGAATATGTATATTTCTTGCAGAAAGCAGAGGGAGGCCAGAATGAGCATGAGCAGAGAAGAGAGGACAAAAACTCCGTTCGTTGACTACCTGAAGCCCATCATCGCCGATGGAGACACCGGCTTCGGTGGCACAACCGCCACCGTTAAACTCTGCAAGCTCTTCGTGGAGAGAGGTGCCGCTGGGGTCCACATCGAGGACCAGTCATCCGTCACCAAGAAGTGCGGCCACATGGCGGGAAAAGTCCTCGTGGCAGTCAGCGAACACATCAACCGCCTTGTCGCGGCTCGCCTTCAGTTTGATGTGATGGGCACAGAGACTGTTCTGGTCGCTAGAACGGATGCAGTCGCGGCTACACTGATCCAGTCGAACATTGACGCGAGGGACCACCAGTTCATCCTCGGTGTCACTAACCCGGGCCTTAAAGGCAAGAGTTTGTCCTCGCTTCTCGCCGAGGGAATGGTTGTAGGCAAGAACGGTCCCGCGTTGCAATCCATTGAAGATCAGTGGCTTAGCTCGGCACGTCTCATGACTTTCTCGGAAGCTGTCGTGGAGGCTCTCAAGCGCATGAACCTCAATGAGAATGAGAAGAGCCGGAGAGTGAACGAGTGGCTAAACCATGCAAGGTAAAACGGACAAGTAATTAAGAATATATATAAACTGTCCGGAAAAAAATCATATAATTTTATAATCAGTTAGGAATTAGGAAATTTTATAATTTTAGTCATGCTCATTAGTTTTTTTATATATAAAGCCGTGGTATTTTCATCTTAGATACAAAATTTACTACTTCAACCAAAAAAAAAAAACTTGATGTACTAGTTGCATAGAAGTTTTTTAAAGTGTGATTTTATAATTTAGCACTATATATTGAGATTTTTACAATGTTATAAAAATGTTATAACTACACGTTAGCTAATGTTGGACTAATCAGGTATGAGAACTGCTTGTCAAACGAGCAAGGCCGTGAGTTAGCAGCAAAACTCGGTGTGACGGATCTTTTCTGGGACTGGGACTTACCAAGAACCAGAGAAGGTTTCTACCGGTTCCAGGGCTCAGTTGCAGCGGCTGTGGTCCGTGGCTGGGCCTTTGCGCAGATCGCGGACATCATTTGGATGGAAACCGCTAGCCCTGACCTCAGCGAATGCACAGAATTCGCAGCAGGAGTCAAGTCCAAGACACCTGAGGTCATGCTCGCCTACAACCTCTCGCCCTCCTTCAACTGGGATGCTTCCGGCATGACGGATCAGCAGATGGTGGAATTCATTCCACGAATTGCTAAGCTCGGGTATTGCTGGCAGTTCATAACGCTTGCCGGTTTCCATGCGGATGCTCTTGTGGTTGATACATTTGCAAAGGATTACGCGAGGAGAGGGATGTTGGCTTATGTGGAGAGGATACAAAGAGAAGAGAGGAGCAATGGGGTTGACACTTTGGCTCATCAGAAATGGTCAGGTGCTAATTACTATGATCGTTATCTTAAGACAGTCCAAGGTGGAATCTCCTCCACTGCAGCCATGGGCAAAGGTATGTAATTTTTATTTTTCTATTTTTCCACACACATAACTCTAGCCTTTTCTATTACACTTTTGTATGCATGCAGTGTTTTCCACTATATCAAATGTTTATAATTTTGTTGTTAAATAATCTTTTTTTGGCATATAGGTGTTACTGAGGAACAGTTCAAGGAGAGTTGGACAAGGCCAGGAGCTGCTGGAATGGGCGAAGGGACAAGCCTTGTGGTTGCCAAGTCCAGAATGTAAGACATACGTTCACTGCGGTGGTGCGACCAAAGCGGTTCGGCATCTTCATATGAAAGCTTGGAAACCACACTATCTTTAGTATATCTTTGGACACTCGAGTAAAAGAGAAAAGAAAAAGACAATAAAAATGTATCTTTGTTATTGTGTTCACTTCTTTTTCTACGTAATAATTCGGTTTAAGAGTTTGGGGCAGTATTTTATGGGTTTGCTTCTTTTGTATGGATATTTGGAATTTGGTGTTATTGGCTTTGGTTATGTAATGATTGATATGCTTATTATATTAGCGATTCAGTTTCTTGTTTCGTTGTAAACCAGATGAGAAATCAACTTGATTAAAAATGTGAATATTGTTTGCGTTTGTTTTTAGAAATGTGTTTTTTTTTATTCTTTTCTTCTTGGTCAGAATGTGAATATTGAGTTACACATTATCAAAATCTAAGTTAAAAACACTAGAAAAAGTAGAGGTAGTAGATATATAGACGGTTGTTGTATTGCCATTGACAAAAACAAAACCCGTGAATCAAAATTGTAATACTTTTTTTTTTTTTTTTTTCTAGCAAAGGAATTTCAATGGATGACATGAATTCCCGGCGAATGTAAACGGAATCAACCTTTGACAATAAAGCAAAGAGTTGGGAACTTTGCACATGGGATTAATTAGCATAATTTGAAAGATTAGGGATATATTTGCCAAGCAGTGGGTCCCATAAGTCGGACCATCGTAGCACCAAACTAAATTCCCCTCCCGGCAATCACGCGTTATATTCCTTTTTTTTCCCATCTTGTATTCGGGTTCATGCATTGTGATACAACAAAACAATTCTCGCGTGACTCGCATTTTTTATTTTCTTTGTCGTATATTTGTTAAATCAATTAGAAGTATTATTTTCAATTTAAAACTTCATAAAATTTGGTAAACACATTTTAATTTGTTTAAATGACTCATTTTTAAGTTTGTCCTATAACATTTTTTATTTTGGAGATTGTTTCCCTAGACTAATGTTTATCAGTGTATGCCATAAAAATTGCCTCAGTTAATGATAGCAATTGAAACAATCGCAACCACTCGTCATGATCATCTCATCAATCTTTCTCTCTTTTATTGTTAACTAGGGCTTTAAGATTTTAGATTTTTTTGAAGCCAACATGATTTTCTGCAATAGTATCTCCTGGCTAGGGTTTTGTAGTGAAGCGACAATAACAATTAACATGTTCCTGACTACCATATAATTATATCGCACGCAAAATAGATTTCTCATACAGTACTCATACCACTAACGGTAAGTCTAAAGTCTTCATAGCTGATGACGGCTAGTCATTATTATTGGTTTAACACTGAAAACCAGACGGCCAGTCATTGGTACTAGCTAGTCTTGTGCTGACGATAAGTCGATGAGTCATTGTTCCTAGTCTTGTTGATCGACGGTCATCGTTGGTTCAACAGAAAAAGGCCTGACCATATAAATAATATATAACATCGCTGGAAAATCATAATTCAGAGAGAGATGAGTTTTGTTACTATCAGAAACTCATAATCTAATTAAGAAAAAAATATGGGATTTGTAAGTTTGTAACTACCAAAAGTCCTACAGACAAAAGTATATATTTAAACATGTAGCCGGCAAGTTTATGACTTGTCTTAAATTATGCAACACGATTGTCATTAGCAAGGGGGATTGCGTCCCAGAAGGAACTTCTCTAAATGTTATTGGATGAAAATTTTACAAATGTTAATTGTAAGAATACATCCTTCTAGCTAATCCAACCAGATTATAACTCAATTTTCTACATATACAAGGGCGCCTATAATAGGACTATACATATGTACGGATTCGTACAGTAATAGTAGTAGTAGTAGTAGTAGAAAAATGTTTTCATAATTTTCATGATATTAGGAAAGCTATATCTCTCGTCAAAAACCCTAAATGGCAAACATAAATAATTTTATCGTTGAAAACAGGAAAATAAAAACAAAGAGGAAAATTCAATGAATCCATGAAAGATGAGATTTAAGGTTGCTTTCTATCTCCAATAGTTCGTAACTATTCTAACTTTCTTGGAAGCGTGGGAATCTCTAGTTTGTCATATACAGCCTGAAATAATTGATCTTTTACCTTTAATTAATGATATTTTAGGACTAATTTTAAGTGCTATATTATCAAGTTTGAAACATCATATCGAGCTCGTTAAGCACGTTGAGCAGCTGGGAAATTACCTGAATCCGTTAAAATATCGAACATCAGCTTCTTAATCAATATTGAAAGGAACTAACAAAATGATAATTCATTTTAAGCAGCAATTAATATTACGTCTAATCATAACCGGTTTGATTAGACGCTTCATCTAACACGTTTCAGAACCAAACGGAAAACATCAAATATCGTCGACTGAAGACTACAATGGAATTCTTCATCATATAATGTGATAGATATTGTTTTTGGCTTTAAATGTCTTCGATAAGATTATTTTACAATAAGAAATGATTATTGGTGAGGACTTGATCGATCACCTAACACGAAGGTTTGGTTAACGGGTGCAAGAAAAATAATAATTTAGCCAAATCTAGAGATGCCGTTAACCTATATATAATTTGCAAATATTTAATTGAAGAGGAAGAAAGTCTCTTATTCCTCCAAGCATCTCAAGGAATATATTAGTATACACATACATATATATGACTTATTATATACTATGCATAAAAATTAGAGAGAGAGAGAGAGAGATGCACACAGTATATATATTTGGATAATGAATTTGATCTGGTTATTAATTACTATGTAACATATTAAGTACCAAGTAGCTTTTTATGTTTGGAGCTGGGACGGCCAAGGGTTCATATAAATATGCCAAACATTTGGTCAGACTTTGATTAATATGTGAAACCACAAATATAATTTTAAATAATGTATATATCAATTAATAAATTAGTGAGATTGATGAATTCTATGACCCCAAACTTTTTATTATCAAACAAAGGAATTGTACCAACCTTCTGTGAAGATATTAATTTCCCTCGATCGTATAATCTTATCTTATCTTATCTTACCTTACGTTGAACGAAGTTTTAGTTCTGCTTACCATCCATACCATATAATCTGCCATAATAAGGTACAACATGCATATGCATAGTATATTTGTAACCTAACGTAGATATAACTCTCTCAAAACTTTTTTTTTTTAAAGATAGAAATAATCGTAATTGTATTTGCAAAAGCTTTCATACGCTTTATAATGAGATGGTAGCTCTTAATATTGTTTACAAACATATACGTTGTATACCTTAAAAATATCCCACCGATATGCACTTATATATGTACATAAAAGCTATACATATGTAATTCAGCACATACCCATAAAAATGTACACACATCAAGCAAATATATACAAGATGGGTACAGATAAAAACACCACCAAATTTACAAGGATGTTTATAGAAGATTGTCATTCAGAAGCGACCGTTAAAGTTAGCCAACATGGAAATAGGGACGACGCATAAACCTCTACTCCTCAAATCCATATTATTGTTGTTGTTGTTGTTTCCTTCTCTGAGATTCCTCATCATCGTCATTTTTTGTTCATCGCCTTCTAGCATTTGGATTTGATGATCCCCCATGCGTCTCATATTTTCCTATCGTCACCGTTTCAATAACATATTTACGTGTTATATTTTTACCAAAAAAAAAAAAAAATTTACGTGTTATATCCATCAAATATTATGTAAGCATTATCAATACGAAAAGATCATCGAACCTTCCTTTTAATTAAACAAATAATTAAACATTCAGTCAATCTAATAATACACAACCAAGTCTATCTTTGATATATTATGCAAAAAGAAACATCTCAATCCTTTCCATATTGGTTATATATAAATGAATTTAAATTCAAATGGATAGAGAATCGCATAAATTTATTGTATGAAAGAAAGGTAGAGAGATTACCATAGCGAAACTAGAAGAGACATAGTCCTCAATTTTTCTAGGAGGCGTCTGAATATGTTCAAACTGACTGACCTGTTCAATATCAATCATATAAAAATTACACATATGCTCTAACTACCACAAAGGGAACTAAAATAAAAAAGAAAGAAGAAATTGTTGAAAATAATTGAGTGATAATCAATCATAAAACTTCAATCATGGTTCAGGTTATAACTGGATTATGTTAAGTAGTATCTAACCTTAGGGCTATTGACCGGAGAGCTAGCCGTGTCCTCCAAAGAATCATCCTCACAAATCTTTTTGGTTCTTGCTCTACCAAACTTCAACTTCGCCGGAAAATTAACCGGAATACTCCGGCCCTCCGTTGCAGCGTCGGAGACAAGAGAAGGAGATACGCCAAGGAGCGAACAAGAACTCTTGTCTTGATCGCTTTCTTCATAATGAGTTCTGTTTTGATTTGAGTAATCTTCCAAAATAGTTGTCCATCCACTCTCCTCTTGATGATCGCCATGATGGTCATGATCATCGATATCAACACCATCATCATCATGATGGTCGAAGGAGGCGTGTTTTGATTCATAAGAATTACAAGAAAATGTATCCATTATGTGGAGGAGAAGGAATAACCCAAAAGAAAATGGAATAATTCTTGAGTGGTTGCGTTGTGTATATATAGAGAATAAAAGGTTAAATTTTGATGGTATATTTAAAAAGCGAAATAAAATTAATTGGAGAGATAACAATCGGAATCTTGATGTGGTCACACATGGGTCCCAATGCGTTGATCAAAATTATTTATGGAGAACCAAAAGCCAACGACGGACTTCAGAACAAGTGTGACTTAATTTAAGCTATCTTTAGAAAATTATGTTCCAACATAACTGATAATTATTTGTGTGAAGTAAAAATATCAATCCATTAACAAAATCATGGTAAAATTCGCCTAGGGATCCTGCGGTTACCATTTCTATTTAAAAAGCAAAATGTTTGCATATTTCTTTAACTTTTTTTTTTGCATATTTATACAAATACATGGATTCTTGTGGATTATAATACATC